AACCATGCCTTGTGATAAAAATTGTGATTTCAGCATTCATTAAGTCAGGAAGAAAAACAACCTAGTTTGACTGCTCAGGCTGGTGCTCACAGGTAGCTCACTGAAATCCCTGCTGCTTTAGCCACATTTTGGGCAATTCCAGCCACTTGTGATCCAGTTTGTAAAGAACAGCTGAGACTGCTGAGGACACTCTTTTTTAGGAAGTGGCTGAAAAGTGGCTGAAAATATAGTGAACCTCAGCTACCATGGCAACCTCTCTGAGGAAGAACCTATGCTGTGGCTAGTTCTTCTTCTGCTTCTTGTCCACATCTTCCAATTCCATCCTCTCAAGGGAGCTTCTTCTTGGCTCCCAATTACCTTTCCACCCCACTAAGTATGGTGAACAATGAGCCACTTTAGGAGATGTTTTGCCAGCAGACAGAGGTCCTTTGCCTCTACCTAGCACTGTGCCAAGCTGTGGGATCCCTCAGTGTAAGAGAGATGTGGGCATACCGGAGAAAGTGCAGTGGAGTACCACAAACATGATTACAGGAACAGGAACATCTCTCCTATGAGGAAAGGCTGAGAGAAATGGGACTGTTCAGTACAGGGAAGAGAAGGCTCAGATGTACAAACCCCTGAAGGGAGTGTGCAAAGAGGATGGAGCCAGGTTCTTCTTGGTTGTGCCCAGTGACACAGAGGCAATGAGCACAGACTTTTCCACCACAAACATGGACACACATTGCCCAGAGAGGTGGTGGTCTCTACCCTCAGAGGTACTGAAATTCTACCTGGACAGGATCCTAAGTAGATGCCTCTCTTTGAGCAGTCGGGTTGGACCAAATGATCTCCAGAGGTCCCTTCCTCAACCCTGCTGTGTGAACAACTGCACAATTTTGTGGGCAAAGAAGCACTGGTGTGATGTTACCACAGAGGCCTCCCACAAATTAGAAAGTGGCATTGGGCTGTCCTTATCCTTGACTGTTCTCTAGAGGATGTTTGCTCATGGGAATGGCATGTTTGTACTATTAAGATGCTGGATAGACAACCCTGAAGTAAGGTAAACACATCCATCTCATCTAATGACCTAAGTAAGTTTGCTTGAACTCCTTTTTTTTTTTTTTTTTAACTGCTCTGTGTTTAAGTACTCCAGTCTCATTACCCAACACACTGTAGCATTTCTCCTGACATTAGTGGAATTGTTAACTTCTTGCAAGCAAAGGCTACTTTAACTTAAGTATCTAAGGGTAAAGGTATAAGGGTCCTCTCACATATTCAAGAAGAAGAAAAAGATCTGCCTGAAACAGAAATGAAAACAGAAGATGGCAGATAAAGAACTGATACTTCTTGTCATCCTAGTATGGTAAAACTTCCCTTTTAAACGAAAACAGGCTTCTATAACTGACTAGATGATATTGTCCTTACTTTCCTGGAAGAGGGAATGAGGAGGAAACAAAGAAGGCCTGAGATGTATATGGAGGAAGAATAGACAGAAAGAGGGAGAGTGGGAGAGAACAATTTCGCTGCAAAATAAGAAAAGACAAAAATAAATCTAAGATATTTGAAAAAAAAAATCACAGTTGCCATTTGGAACTAAATATGGTAAAAATTAACAAAATAAATACTAGTTGTTCTTATTTGTCTCATTGGGAGGTTAGGGTTAAAAATAATTTCAACTCCAAAGCAGTTGTACAAATGTAAAATCCAACATATTCCTTATAGAGCATGTTGTAACAATAAATCATTTTTCAAACTAGCCCTTGTATAACACACATTACAAATCTTATCTACCACCAAAGGAGTAAGCGCTGTCTCTTACAACAGTAACAGTGCTAAATATCCAGACAATAAGCTAGCTTTCCTGTCTGTCTGCCCTGCTCATTTTTTCAGCAGTTTTAAAGGAAGATTTTCAGAAAACCAAAATCAACCCAGTGATCTAAAGCAGCTTCTCAGCTGAAATATGAGTTTCATGAAGTTTCAGCTATTTTGAGAGATACATTTCAAAAGCCTGTGAACAAGAGGTGCTCCATGCTATATTATTTTGGGGGTTATTATAGGAAGGGCTCCTGCAGCAGGACAGGATGCCCACAGCTCTGCTTTGCTGACCAACCTGCCTCTGCTGAGCAGCCACAACAGCAGCATCCACCCAACACTGGGCAGATATGTGGGGGCAGCCCTGGAAGTTGGGCTGCACTCTGGGCATCTTCCTGCTTCTCAGTACCTTGAAATATGGGTAACCAGAGGAACTTTCTGAAGAAAGGGAAAAGCAAATGGCCCCAAACCTCAAAAAACACAAAACACCCAGAGTACTAAGTTGCATTTAGTTCATTGGAAAACAACTATTTTCCTGCACAGTCCTTTCACCTTCAGGAATCTTCAGAAGTGATAACTTATCTTCTGATCCAAGAAATATATGGTGATGGATGACCATGAATATGTGGTCTGCTGGGCACAACATTTTCCCTGAGTGAGCAGACAATGTACTGGCCTTATCCAATACTCACAACCAGCTTGCACCCAAGTTTTTGCATGTTTTGGGAAAGAGACAAGATCAAACCTGGTTCCCCCTGGGGTGCTCATTGATTTCACCTTCCTGTCAGTGGCAGGGCTCAGTGCCTTAACTTGCTCTGGAATGTTTGTCAGCTGTTTTGTTGGAGAGAAATCCAATTTGCTGTGAGTTGAACAGATCCTGCAGGTGGCTGGGTCCCTAACATTTCTGGGTTCTCCTCTAAAAGAAACATGCTGGTCCACCTCATATTTTCCAGGATCTCTGTCATAGGAATTTAATGGACACTTATATGTTCTGTGAGGGAATTTTCAACAGTACTACCCTATAAGTTTTGGGCAGTCAGACACACCATAATCTAATCTGGACCTTGTTGGAATCTGAGTTTGCAGTCCTTGCTACTATACAATTCCTCCCATTTGCCAGCCACAGGGAGATCTTAGGCAGCTTCTCATATCTTCCTTTCTCTCAGGTGCCCTGAAACTGGGTTTTATGAGCATCTCTCAGTAAGAAAGGGGTGCAACTAAAAAAAAAGGGAGCAGGAGTCGTTGTCAGTGGAAAACTTTCTCTGATGAGAAAGGTCACTAAAAGTTTCTTTTTACAAAAGTCTCCAATTTGTAAAACACGAAACTACTACTGCCTCTGTTCCCATGCCCCATCCATGCTCCTACCTTATCCACTAATGCAAGGCTAATTGTATGTTAGATAACATTCCCTTTAGCCACAAACTCTTGTTTGGGATGACCAGAAGAATGTAAGATGAGAAGCTGGAATAGTGTTTTTACATATATAGTATTGCATATATTGTTTTCTGAAGTTCTTGGGATTAAATTTCTTGCTGCTGGGGAGCATTTATTTGCAGCAAATAGCACAGGCAAGACGCTTGCTCTTTCTTGAAACTTTTGCAGTTCTGAGCCTGTAATTTTAAGACTGACCTGCTGCCTTAAGTCTAAAGATACTGTGGAGATTTTCCTCCAGGTGTTATTATTCTTTAGCTTTCCTTTGCTGGTTAAATGCTGCCATTTCTGACGACACTAGTTCATCATATGGATACCATCTGTTGTCTGCACAATTTATTACTCAATCTTATCTCAATCAGAAAACAGATTCTCAAAGGGGACACAGGTATTTTTAAGAAAGTGTATACAATTTATTGAATGCTTCACATTATTCTCATCAAAACTGTTTTTAAGAGTGATCTGTTATAGACATGTGTGGAACTAGAAGTTCTCAGGATTTTTACTGTTAAGACTGTCTCTGATGCTTCAGATACTAACTGCTTTGTATGTCCAAAAGCATTTACATTTTTTTTTCCTATAATAGCCAGACTTATGAGAAGAAACACTGCCTCCCTGTGCACCTTGCCTTGACAAAATAATATCTCAGCAGAAAGAACAGCAGTCCTCCTAGAGAATAATCACATCTTGGGGCTCTAACACTTTTTGCCCTCCCTGCAGAACTGTCTCTTAGCCATGCTGAGCAGGCCTTTGGGCACCATTACATTTCAGATGCTAGTAAATTTTATTTATTTTGTTAGGCAGCCTGCAAAATAGCAAAACTCAGTCAAAGAAGAAAACACAGAAATCCCTCTTTGACAGGGTTTGCCTAGTAGTATCAGCAATCATGCAAAGCACAAGATTATAAAGTATTCATTTTCATTTTTACTCCACCTTCTCTTCAAATGGCTCATGTAGACTTTCAAGTATAAATGAATATCTAACAATTTCTCTTTGAAGTAAATATTATTATCTCTGTATATGGAGCTGAAAATGGACCACAGGTTGTTAAAAAACTTTCTCAGGTATGTACTAGAACTATATCAGGAGAAAAACATGCACTCAGTCCTGGATTTTGAATCAGCAAGATCATTTTAGATAGGAACAAGCCATTAATTTTAGAGAAAAACAGTTTCAGGCATTTGAGATGGAAGCAAATGCAATTTCCTTTTTTCTTAACAGCTAATTGCTGGGCTGATTTTCAGTAGAGGATACCAAGCTTTAGATTCCAAAACACTTCACTCTAACAGTAAACAAAGAGTACTTTCTATATATTAATATCATGCTTTCTTCTATTTAGATCATTAAACAAAACCAACAAAACCTGGTAAGATAATGATACATCATTATATTTCACTCTACTAAGGTATCTGATTCATAGATTATTTATGTGGGAAATTGCAGGTATATTATTTAAAGTGTTCAGGTCAAGCTAGCATTAACAGCAGGAAATACATTTACATCAGAAGAAAGAGAACAAAAAAAAAATCAGTAATTTAAATAATTTTTGCCTTGAGAATAAAATGTGTCAGATACAGTAAAAAAACTGGGCTGGAGTGGGAGAGATTAGGGTGATGGGAGAAAGAAGAGCATCTCCAGAAGAGAGAAGAAAGGTGAGACAGAAAATAAAAGTTTCAAGAGAAGAAGAAATCAAAGGAGAAAGGAAAGATGTGAAGGGATGCAGCGAGAGTGGGGAATGGAGATGAAAGGGCCTGAGGAGTGTGATGAGAAGACCTCACCTGCGAGATGAAATGGAGTTCTAGCAGAGCAGCTGTGGGGCCAACTCGCTGTCATGGCTGGTGGTGCCCTGCAGTGCCCTGGCCCCACAAGTGAAACTGAGTCTGCAGGTGGTTGCCTTAAGGGTGCATGTCACTGCCCAGAGTGAAACCACTTCTTCAAATGAGAGGGCTCGAGACCTGAGCCACAAGGAAACGGCTGTGGGACGTGGAGAAGAGGGGCCTCTCTGGGGGTCGGGGAGCATCTTCCTTCTGTCAGAGGATGCCTCCACCGAGCTGAGCAGCTGCCTCCATTTCAGCTGCTCAATCTCAAATCCTTGGCTCACACTTACTAAGACGTATTTTCTCCTGTAAATTTGTGCTGTCTCACTTCAACTCTTATTTTTGAAGCAGTTACAATTTCTGCTTTCACACACTGGCAGTTAGCATAATTTCTACAAGTCCTGATGAGGGGAAGAGAAAGTGTTTTGCCAAGCTGAAGAGCTCAAAAAAAATCCAAATTAAGTTCGTGCAACACCATGGGAATACCCCACCACATCTGTCGTGGTGGGCCGAGGGAGGTTTCCCATGCTTGGTGAGCCTCTGCTCTGCTGGTGACAGAGGACCTGCTGCAGTCACCTCCAAGATCCTGGGGGCTGCCACCAAGGCAGGGAGTGGGCTTGTGGCATGGGGCTGTGCTTATACCAGGGGGAACAGGGAACTAGCACTGTTTGCAGGAAGGTTCAAAGCGAGCCACAGCTGTTCTGAAGCTGTTACACAGATTACTTGTCTAGGGGATGAAAACAAAGGCCTCCAGGCTGAGATGCAAACCTGTAGAGGCAGAATCCCTCTGCCCTTAACCTGTCCCTGCTTGCCACCTTCCTTGGAGCATAGTGCTTCAGGAGCTGCCTCCTCACTGGCTCCAGGTTGCTGGTGTGTAAGAGGTGGAACTGGTCCAGGTGTAGAACTTGCTGGGGCCAGCAAGCCCCACTGATTTGTACCAGAACAGGACATTGCAGAGGGGCAGACAGATCTCCCTGCCTTGCACAGCTGTGCATCACAGTCACCAAGCACAAATCAGACCCAGTTCTAAGGATTAAGCTTGAGTTTCTCCTCTATGATCCCCCAGGATAGACTGGGGGATTTTTATTATTTGCTTGGCTGTTGTATTTTATATATAAAATTGTATTTTTTATTCATTCAGTTGTTATTTTTACTTGCCAAGGGCTGAGCAATGATTCTGCAATTGTTCAGAACCTGGATAAAAAAAATCCCTAAACAAATAAACTCAGTATTGGTAAAGTGTTCTCAGAAACATCTCAGAGACTATATTTAGATTTTTTATTGATACCTGCCTTCTGCATTAGGGAAGTAAAAAAAAAAAGTAGATTAATCAGAACTAGACAGACATACCATAGCTAAAATAAGACACATAAAACATCCTGAATGCAACTGCAGGGGCAATGGGGCACAGAGGCCAGTATTGTTCATGGATATGAATGCATGATCTCTCACAAGACTGCCTTAGACACACTGAATGAGTCAGTACCATTGTACTGTGGTGCTCAACACAAGTTTGTGTGTTTTGCAGTGCAGAGGAAGGAGCTGAAATTATATGAAAATTAGGGAGGTACATATTTGCAAGGATGCAAAAATGAGAAAAGGAAGCATAGGATTCCATAGGCTTTAAAGAAATTGATGCAAACAGGAAAATACCATGCTGACAACAAGCTTTCTTAGTTGGCAGGTTGCCCCTTTTTTGTTCCACTGCCCACACTGGTACACAGTCCCTAAGCATGAATGAGGTATCAAGGCACCTCTGAAGATTGCCTAGTCCAGTGCTATACTCAAAACATGATCAGCTAGCACAGGCTGCCCCAGAGCACATCCAGTACAGTTTTAAATATCAACAGAGATGGAGAGTCCACAACTTTTCCTGGCAACCTATTCAGCACTTAAACCACCTCACAGTATAAAAATGTTTCTTGATATTCAGAGTGAACTTCCCCTTTTACAGTTTGTGCACATTGCAGGTGGTTCTGTCACTGAAATGAGTCTGGCTCCCCCATCAGATATTTATACACATTGATAAGGCTCCCCCCAAGCCTTCTCTTCTACAGGCTAAACAGCCCCAGCCATTTCACTCCCTTACCAGATACCCCAATCCTTTATCATCTTTAGGAAAAAAAAACCAAAAAAAGACCTAAGGAACTACAGACCAGTGTAGTCAGTTTTGGTGTCTGTCAAGATCTTGGAGCAAATTCCCCTAGAAATTATAAGAAGGCACATGGAAAATAAGGAGGTGACTGGTGACAGTCAGCATGACTTCACTAAGGGCAAATGGCACCTGGCAAATCTGGTGGCTTTCTATGATGGGGTTACAGCTTTGGTGCTAGGGAAGAACGCCTGACATAATTTACCTGGACTCATGCAAAGAATTGTTCACTGTCTTTCATGAAACTTTGTGTCTAAACTGGACAGATATGAATTTGACAAAGGCACCAATCGGTGGACAAGGAATTGGATGGATGGTTAATTCAAGGAATTGTGGTCAATGGCTTCATGTCCAAGTGGAGAGCAGTGACAAGCGGTGTTCCTGAGGGACTGGTTTGGGACCAAATCAGTTCAACATCTTTACCAATTATGCGTTTTGCACTTTCCTGTACCCCTTTCAACCCTACACATATATACAGGTTTTGCCCTCAGAAAACAGGGGTAGACAGTTTGTACTTCTGTTCTGAAAATAACAGACATCTATCCCAGCCACTGAGTGCTCACTGTTGGTAGGGTAGCCTGACAAAGACATGTCTAAACACTTACATATGTACCAGGCAAGTGGATTCTTATCCTCTGATTTAAAATTGGCAAGTGATCCAAGTGCTTTGTTTTCTCTTCCACCTGATGCACTCAGCACTGGTATCTGCTAGGATTCCATTGAAGATATTTTGCTCTTTTGTGATTCTGACAAGGAGAAACTACTGTTTAATAATGAAAATCGGTTACTGGTGATTCAGCTGATCTGGTATCAGAAGCCTTAATGTATATGTCAGGTTTTCAGTGTAAAAGCTTCTGTGAAAGATCCAGCTAGGACAGTTCACATCTACTGGACTAAGCCAAAGTATAAGTTCTGACATATTAACTTATTCCTAAAGATGCTGGACTGGGGTCCAAAAGGGTTCAATGAATGTATCATACACATGCATACAACAGCAAAGCATTCTTTGAGTGAGCAGGGCTTTTTTCCACCATGAGAAAATGGTTTCTGTTATCAAGTGTTTTATCCAGCTTATCCATCCTGGTTGGCCTTCACTGCAACAAGTAGATAAAGCCTATGCCAGTGGGAGCAGCCACATGGTAAGAAATTCTCTAGCTGAACCATACGATCGGATTACCAGCACAGTGAAACTAGACTTGTATTTTAGTGCTCGTACTAATTTTAATTCTAGCTTAGGGCTAAGACCTCCCCTCCATACATTATTAATATAAGGTTTAGCGTACATTATTAATGTAGGTGTTAGGAAGAGCACTTCAGGGTCAACTCCTGATTTGTGACTTGATTTGAATTCAAAACTTCACCGAGTTGAAATGAATTTCTTTTTGCACAAGAACAGGAGTCTGGTTGGGAGCAACACCTGGTTTCTTCCAGATACTGTTAGTAAAGGCAACTGCCCAGTTAGGGACCCGTGGGTATTGCCACAGCAGGTCACTGCATGCAGTCCAATATCCTGACTGCTATGTTAGTAATTCTCAAATATTTCAAAGGCAGATAATTTTGTGGAATAATCTCCTCAAGAGTGGCAATCTCCTTCTGACTTCAGACAGTAGTTGGTGTATAGCCTGAAGTATTAGGCTTTATTTGAAAAAAATATGAATTATTAGCAATTATTAAAAATTCATAAATGCTAAATTCTTGTCTAATATTACTGTAGACCCTGATCACATCAGTTTTTTTCCTTGATTATATACTATAATGATAGACTCTAAAAGGTAAATTTGGATTATGCGCAAACTTTGTTTAGAAGTATTTCCTTTGATCTGTTTCAGTAATACTAAGGCCAGTTTTCTAAGTAGAGATAGTATCTTCTAACAAACCCAGCTGGTACTGTTGGAAAAAACCCAGTGTTCACACATTACCTTTTCCAACTATTTGGTTGGTTAAACAAGATTCCTACCTACAAAACCTGTCTCGCCTAGACCTTAAAAAAAAGTCAGCTACAGTAACTCTTTCCCTTAAAAAGTATTGTTATTCATTTGCATTATCTGATGCCAGCCTGCACTTAAGGATCTGTTTCCACATGATTTAATAAACAAGTTAATTCTGTGTTGATACAAAGAGAAGGTGTCACTCTCAATAGCAAACATGGCTTTCTCAAGAATGGTTCAAATGTTAGGGGGGAGCTGCTTGGCACTTACAAGCTGATTTGGCTGGAAAAAAAGAGCTCTTGGCAGATGTTTCCTTCCCAAGGTTTCCCTCCCCCACCTCGATTTTTCATCTCATAATGTTTGGTTCTGCCTTTCTGGCACAGCTCATTAAGAATGACACTCTGTCACTTGGCCATGGCTTCAGGCATGCATACAGTGGTATTTCCTCCTTTCTGGGTCAAAAAGCACACCACAGTTATCACTTAACTACAAAGTGGGACAAGACCCAGGGGTATCAATCTTTCTCCTTCCTCTTGCTTCCTGAATTTCATGCAAAGTACAGCAACACTCTCCACACAGGTGCCAGCTGTGATGATCAGGGGACCTAGTTTTGTGAAAGAGGTAACATCATCAATCACTCCTTTGCAGGAATGCATAGTATATCCCCATGCACTACATGAAGCAGGGGAGCAAGCTGAAGCAGACAGAGAATGGTCTGTGGTCCTCCTCATCATTTTGGCTGACCAGCGGGAACAGGCAATAAAAATCAGAATCTAGAGGGGAACACATGATTAATGAGGTGTCAGGCTCCCATACGGACACTCACTTCCTGCTGGTCAGTCTTCAGGCCACGTCCTTGTATACAGTGAACAGAAATGAAGAGAAGGAGAGGTGAAAGATTGCCAGAGTCACAAAAAGAGGCTCATGCCACCTTGAGTGTCATCCCATTGGTTCTGCTCTGCTGGCCAAGACAATGTAGAAAAGGTGAAGGACATTTCCAAGTTGGTTTGCTGTTCAGTGGCTCAGGTACAGTACTTAGGCTGACTTCAGTGGGGGAGAACCCCAACATTCTTGGCACCATACTGCAGACACCATTGCTAGCTGGGTACTCAGGCTGGCAGCATCATGCACTACTGCCTCCACTACCTCAGCTCTTCCCACATCCAGTGGGAATGTTTTGAACCTGAGCTACAGCATGTGGATAGAATAAATGTGGGTTGCGTGTACACAAGCCCGTTTGCATCCTTGTTCCTAACCTCACCGTGTACATGTAATATTAGACACATGCAGAGATCAGCAAAAGAGCTGTGGGAAAAGCTGAAAACACAGGTTAGAATATCTTCAACGATGGGAGTGGCTATGCATCTCAAGTCTTTGCTTGGAAGAATAAACTTCATGTTCAACCAGTTTACCCAGAAAAGGTATTACGCTATGAGTATCATCAAATCTCTTGTAAGATAATTTGATACCATTAAATCCACAATACTAAAGCTCAAGACAAAGGGCCCACAGATCTTGGGAAAACTGGGTGAAAGCTGAGATTTTTCTTCTCCCTAACATTTTTGTGTCTCCCTTTCAAACCACCTCACAAGTACATACAACTTTTCTACCCAGTCTGACCTCTGGGGAGGGAATTTTCCAAGGGACATCATTCTTGGAATAAGAGGCGATAAATAGACTACTGATAATAAGGCTTAAGCAGAGAATGATATTGGGTTCCTGTCTCCTCCTCACACATGGCATTACCTCAACACAACACCTTCTACCTCCCATTTGCCTCTATGAACCCATGCATCCTAAAATTCCCATCTGCCTGAGACCTTCACCTTCTGCTGGCATTTTCCCTTGGCACCAACCAGGAGGACAAAAGGAGAGAAAACAATGCACTCCCAGACTCTCTCCTCACTGCAGCAGCTGAGGGAAGTGTCACCTGCAGGCACCTGTGTCTAGCTGCAGCAGCGCAGGGAAGCCCTTGTTTTCACTCCTCAGAGACATAACACTAATGCTGGGGGCGGGGGAATGAGTGATACACAACCAAGTAGCACTGTGGGCAGCTCACCTAAAGCAGCTGGGTCCAATCTGTGCACTAAAGCAAAAGCGATTTTGGTTATCTTAGAAGGTGCAAGCTGGGAGTGAATTGTTTCCCACGGTTGAGGCATTTATGCGTTCTTGCTCCCTTGTGGAATCTGCTGTGGTCTGTTTGAGCTCTGACACCGAGATTTTAGTGGAGAAACCAACAGGGTCTTTTCCATTCTGGCTTACTTTTCAAGCTTGGAGGAAGACAGAAGCTGTGAGCTCTCTGCTGTACTGTTGAAAGAAAGTACAAATTCTTCCCTACATGAAAGAAAATGGGGATTCAGACTTGGGGAGAGGATACATAATTTAGTTTGCAGCTAAAAGCTCTCATATGAAGGATGCTCTTCTAAGAAAGTTTAAAAAGAATTGACCAAGCCCTGAATCTAAAGCAAAAACATTTAGAAAAATTGTTGGGGAATGAGAGAGATCATATCCTCACCCTGTCTTCTTGTTATACAGTCTAAAACTGAAGCCTGGACTGTTGTAGTCTTGTCCTTTCTCTAGTTTTCTGTCCAAAATTTTTGATCTTGAGACTTCAGCTTAAGGCACGTTTATTTCTAAAGGTCTTTGAACACTCTATCTGAGGAAGATTTTGATTTGTTCCATTGAGACAAGCTCACTCATTATTTTAAAATTTCTTTTCATGCAAACTGTCAAAGCATCTTCCAAGCAGGCCCTGATTTTCTTTTCATTTTTAATAAGAGAGAAGGCTATGATAGACAACAAGTAATCTTAATTCTACAGTAAATGTTTTTCTTACCAAAATAATGTCAAGTGCACTTTAACTTACATTTCCCAACTACATATATACACACTATTTCAGCTATTTCCTCACCACAAGCTATGCCAACAACTTGACCGAGTAAAAATTGAAAAAAAATTAAAAGTATTGAGTAGCATTGCAAGAGAGTCAGTTAAAATTCACGTAACAAAGTTCTCCAAGCTCCGGGGAAAAGACCTGAAGCATTTTCTTAAGAACTGCGTCTCGTCGCCTGGAGAGGGAGAATCCCTCGGGCTGCGTTCCCGCCGTGCCAGCAGGCAAGGCACGGCCAGCAGGCTGCCGTGCGGTGTTAGGGCCGGAAAGAGGCACGGAACTTATGTGGAGGGAAACCGGCTGAGATCCTGCAGGGACGGCCGGTGCTTTGACCTCGACCCCACGAAGCGGGAGAAGGCTCACGATCCAGCCTGGCACAGCGCTCCAGAGCCGGGCGGCCCCGGGCCAGGGCCGGGCCGTGTGCCGGGGGTCACCTGCCGCCAGACACAGCCCGCCACAGGCGGTTATCGCCCCGGCCCCGCCGGACGCGGCGCCCTGCCTCCCGCGGCTCCGCGGGCCCCGCGCTCCGCTCCGCGCCGCCACCACCCCTCCTTCCCTCCCTCCCTCCTTGCCTCCGTCCGTCCCTGCCCCGCCCGCAGCACCGGCCGCCTCCGCCTCCGCGGCCCGACCGCTGGCGCTACCCAGGCTGCTCCGCGCCGGCGCAGGCGCGGCCGCTCAGGAAGAGGAAAATGGCATAAACAACCCCGAGCGCCGGGACCGCTGAGGAGGAGGAGGCGCCGCCGCCCCGGGCCGCGCGGCCCCTTTAAGAGGCGCGGAGTCGCCCCCTCCTCCTCCTGCCCCTTCCGGAGCCGGACCCGGGGTGACGGCGGTCCCCGCGCCCCTTCCCCCTGCCCGCCCCCTTCCCCATGGTGCCGACCCCGGCGGCGGGGCGGTTGCCATGAACAGCAGCGGCCTGCCCTGCTCGTCGCCGTCGCCGGTGGTGGGGCCGCCGCCGGGGGCGGGGGTCGGCGTGGCGGGGCCGGCGGCCGGCGGGGCGGGGGCCGGCGGCGGCGGCGGGGCCGTGAAGCTGAAGTTCTGCCGCTACTACGCCAAGGACAAGACCTGCTTCTACGGCGAGGAGTGCCAGTTCCTGCATGAGGAGCCGGGCGCCGCCCCCGCCGGCCCGGGGCCCGCCGCACCCCCCCTCGGCGGGCTCCCGCTCGGCATCCCCCCACCCGCCGCCGCCGCCGGGCCGGGCTACTCGGCTCACGGGGCCGGCTCGGGCCCGGCGGCAGCGGTGGTGGGGCCTAAGAAAGCCGAGCTGGGGGCGGGAGGCGGCGGAGGCGGCGGCGGCGGCGGGGGGCTGGATGGCCCACGGCTGGCGAGTGAGTGCGGCGGGGCGGCCCGGGGGTGGGTGGGGGGCACCGCCGGGAGGGGGCGGCGGGCGGCGCGTTGTTCCTCATCCCCGACACGCCGCGGTGCTGCCGGAAACAAATAACAACAGCCGTGGTGGTGGCCGGGGACCCCGGGCCGCCCGTCGGGGCTGGGCTGGCTGCCCAGGGGAGACCCGGCCCGTGCCGATGGGAAGGAGCGGGCAGGTGTTTGCGGGAAGGGGTTCCTCCTGTGTGACTTTAAAGGGGCTCCCGGGCAGCTGTCTATCCATCCCTCTAGCGCTAGGCTTGGTGCAGGTTCACAGGTATTCCCTGGCCGAAGTCAGGCCGGGAGCAGGGAGGCAGCGCTTTCCCGAGCGGTACCCTTGGATAGGCTCTTCCGAACAGCGTATTTATTTGAGTGTTGGCTAGGGGAAGTTTGAAATGCTCCAGCTAAAATACAATGTTAAAATTGCGAAAAGAATTTATAAATTGCGATTCACTTCATCATGAGGAAAATTTGCCTTATGTTGAGGGTGGCAGAGAGACTGCCCAGGGAGATTATGGAGTCTCCCTGTCTGGAAACATTCAAACCCCACCTGGAGGGATTTCTGTGTAACCTGCTATAGGCTATCCTGCCTTGGCAGGGGGATTGAGCTAGATGATCCCCACATCCCTTCCAACCATAATGTTACTATGATTCTATAATGTTACTATTCTGTGATAGATGTCTACATTATTTACTGTTGTGAGCAGTAATTATCTCAAAATCTTTTTCTGAGATTTTCCAGCTCTCAGCCCCCCCCCTTTTTTTTTTTTTTCCACAACCCCTTTTCAAATGGTGAGAGCTCAGATAGCTTGTATGTCATGCAGAGCTGCACTGCTGTTGCTGGTCAGTGTTGCATCCTGCTGATGTGCAGGCCGGTAGTTAGATGGAGCTTGCAGTAAACTGATTTTAGTAACCATTTCTTTTGTAGGTGAAGTAGCATTTGGCAGGCTAGGAAAACATGCTCTTTGAGAAAAGCCGTGCCTCTTTACATGAGTATATTAAGCTTGGCTGCATTATTGATTTTTGACACAAACGTGGCATTTATTTACATTAAATGCTTTAGCTAATAAATGGTCACAACCATATTTTTTCTGAAATTAAGATGCAACCGTGCTGAACATCCTCTGTGTAGGTTTTTAGTGCTTGATAAATCTTTCAGGATCCTGCAATTGTTGTTTTGCCAGGTGTGGTGAGCTTGTGCCACTGAGTATTATCTCTGTAGTTGGTAGCATCTCTGTGTCTTGCATTAACACAACACTGTCATGTCTTCCCTTTCAGGAAGAGCCTATACTATACCACTGCATAAGGCTTTCTATTAAAGTCTTCCAGGTTTTTGCTGAACTTAAGTTATTCAAGCTGAAGGCTCTCTTACCTTCTTTTTGTTTTTTTTGTTTTTTAATTAAATAGAAGTATGTTGGAGGGATTCAGCAGCAATAAGTCTTTGCTAATCTTTTGTTTGTAAATCTTTTTTAATTTTTTCTTTGGACAGAGTTCAGTGTGAAACACACTTTTTCCCTGTGGGAAGGAAAATGGTTAGGGGATTCAGACTTGGGGAGAGGATGTATAACTTAGTTTGCAGGTAAAAGCTCCTATATGAAGGATGCTCTTCCAAGAAACGGTTAAAAAAAAAATGCCTGAGCCCTGAATCTAAGACAAAAGCCTTCAGAATTTGTGTGTGCTTGGGGGTTGATACTGCTAAGCAGTTAAATTATTTAAAACACTTGCTTCTGTTGAATATGCTTGCTGCAGTTGTACCCAGTTGAGGAGTGAGGGCACCAAGGATGGAGAAATCTGCTCTGATGCTGTCAGTGGTTGCCTGCTGGGAAGGCCACATCACTTGTTGGGGGCAGAAGCTTCCACTGGTGGATCTTGAGGGACACTACTAGGAAAAAGAGACCAGAAACAAAGGACGGGGAAATTTAAGTTGAAAAGCCAGGAATGGGCCTAATCTCACTTCTAAACTTCGCTTTGGGATGAATTTGTGAAAAAAATAAGGAAAATAATTCTTCAAAATCTGAAATTGATATGTATAGGTACTGACAAGCTAATATCTAAATTCCTTACCTTGCTGATGACCTGTGGTGTTAACAGTATGATTTCCAAGTGGATGGAATGAAAGTTTTGTTTCTGTGCATGTAGGCAGTAAGATACAAAGTCATATTAAAACAGTTTTGAGGTTAAGAATATCAAAGTGGTAGTTGCCAAAAATCGCCTGCCTGTACAGTCACTGACATCTGATTAAGAACTATTTGGTAGTCTTAAATGTGGCTGTGGATGCCACCTTTTCTTGCTCCTTCCTCACTGGGCACTAGTGCACAGAACAGATAATGCTCATTGACTAATTAACTGGGTAGTCCTATTTATTGTTAAAAGTGGGTCAGTGCCTCATTCTAACATGCGTGTTACTCTAATCCTGCTTTGAGTACAGGATTATTAATTTACTTATAGGTTTTCCTGTGGTAATCACAAGGGCTCCCCAAATACCAAGTTATTTTCACCACATGGGTGGTGGGAATGTTAAGTGATGAGGAAATGGTGAACAGTGAAAAGGCAAGAAATATTCCAGTGTAGAAGTATTTCACTATTAGAGTATGAAGAGGAATGAGCAGCTGACATCCTCAGAGCTAACCAGGAGGAGTTTCTCAGGTGATGTGTGATTGAGCTATTCTATACTCATAGATGTTTTGAGTGCTAACATCTGACAGAATTCCAGAAGAAAACTCTGCTTGAGATGATTAAATACAAAAGACTTCCCATCTCTGCATCAAACTCATCTTCCCTTGCATATATATCCTGAAATCCTGCTGGAAAATCCTGCTTTATCCTTGCCTCGTACTTATGCTTTTGTCCACATAGCTACTGCTGTCCAATGCCAGAAGTGAGGTAGTGGGCTTAATGTGGCTTTGGCTTGATGATGTGGATTTTTTTGTTCCTGGGGTGCAAAACTGGCTGTGCCCATGAGCTCCACCCACTCTCAGAAGGCAGCGCTGCTGTTTAGTGCCCCCAGACTATTTGACATGGAGCACGTGTTCAAAGCGCCATTTCTTCTTCTTCCACCAGAGTTGAGTGCTCAGCCTTCTCTTTCTCCAAATTTCTTAGCTGCTTAAATTTGTGCATGGTGCTTTCCTAGTAGATGTATGTCCCATGTGTCTATATGTGTCTATATGTGTCTATATGTGTCTATATGTGTCTATATGTGTCTATATGTGTCTATATGTGTCTATATGTGTCTATATAAGGAGCAGAGGTGGGGAAATGACTGGTGCTTGCTATTTAGGGGAAAATATATGATTGATTAACAGGATTTAAGGGAGTAGCTTATGGAAGGAGAGCACAGTAGCGTGAAGAGTTTTTCTTCTTGTATGTGCCTGCTGTTCTCTGTGGCACTTTGCAGCTTCTGTAAACAGCAGCCTGCTTTGCTGCATGCTGTGGGCTCATTCCTAGGCTGCCATCCCTTCTCAATGCTGCCTGGGGGAAGATCTAGAGGGAAGTGTTGTGGTATTAAAATGTATCATGCCTATACCTAGGTCAGATAAGTTATAGTTGTATGGACAACTGCCATTGTATTTGTTAGCTTTCAGGTAGTTGAACACGTGTAGTACTCTTTTGCATGTCGATCTCATGTTATAGATTGATGCTGAAGTATGGCTCCAAACATTTGCTAATTTCTGCCCCACTTTTTGCTGTGAAGTTCATAATACAAAGTACTCACCCTTTCTTCTGGCTTCTGATTCCTATAAAGCACTGGGCTGAGGAGTGCCAGGTGTGCTCTGGGCCCAGTGGCAGCCAGGGAGCTGCCTGTGAGGAGCTGGCCACAGCAGCAGTGCTGCTGCTGTGTGAGTTTCCAGTGCCAGAGCCTAGCCCACCCTCTCACTGTGACATGTTTGCATCTGGTTATCTGCTAGAAAGCCTTTTTCAAAGCCCTCCTAGGAAATCTGTAGTTAGAAAACAGGTCTGTGTTTCTGCAAGTATGTATGCTGAGACAGCCCACCTGTGAATAGACTTTATTGCCAGCCGGCAAGAAGGTGGAGAGGGTCATCAAGGCTTGGCATGTGTTGGGTTGGCTTAATAAAAGCATTATGCTTGTTTTCACAGCCCTAATAAAAGCATTATTTCTGTTTTCACAGCCAACCATCTGCATGTTGTGTCCAGTCAGGGCAATAGTGGCCACTACTGTAGCAATTCCATATGCAATTGCTCTATGTTTAGTTTAGTGATCATTACAGCTTAGGTTTTGTGAGATCCCTAAATACACTAGGCTTGGAGTGGAAAGACAGATGTTTGTGAATGTTCTGGTTTTTAAAGGGTGCTTGATTCTTTACCAGTACGGTCCTTTTTAGACAATATGAAGCAGCTGATACAGAAAAAATGGAAAGACAGCTATTCATCAAAACTGATACTAAAGGTAATCTGTTGGATTACATTTCTTAATGCAGTGAAACTGGTCAGGGTTATTAAATTTGGATTTTTCTTATCTTTGGTAGCATTTCAGTATTTACAGGTTGCAGTGTTTAGAAACAGTTACATGAAACTTCTAAGTATAGCTGCAGTAGGTCACATACTCTTCACTTTTCCTGGGGTTTTTTCCTTCTCCATTTCTTTGGAGAAAGTACATATTATAGTAAAGGTGAATGGTTGAGAATTCTTTTACCAAACATGTTTGTACTTTCTGTGAGTGATGCTGTATTAGTTGTGTACCTCACTTGGGCTCTTTTTCCTTTAGAGGTACCTCCCCCTTTAATTTTTATTATGCCTTTTCCAGGATCATACAATCCATGACGGATCATGCAATTTTCATCTTGTTTTGCTCTGAATATTTTTAAGAAATGGAAAAAAAATTTCTTGGTATTGGGAGACTGATACAATGGAGAATTGAAGAGTAAAACCAATAACCTCTTAGAGATGCATAAGGGGAAATGAAAGTTACTGAGTTCACTTAATCACTTTTTGTCTCATATGCCAGCTT